AAGAGTAATCCTCTTATAACCTTCATCTTGAGTAGGATTGTTAAGGTCATTGCCTTGTACATCCATGATTTAAACTTTTGGCAGTAAATATTACTTCAAAAGTTATGAAGCGTTAAAGTTTCGCATTACGCTACAAATGTTCGTCTTCATTTTCATTTATTAAAGTTGTGTTCCTTGTAATGTGTACTCAAACTTTATTTAGATGGGAATATTGTTTACGTGAAACAAATGTGAAATGAAACTAACGGCGAGGACAGTCAGGCAATATGTTAAACATATCTATAGGCAGTGTGAGCCAATTCAGTGGCATATCATTTAAAAACATGATATCCACAAAAACCACTATAGCGGCGTACCGTTTAAAAAGATGACTTGCACGAAGAAGTCACTATAACGGCGTACAGTATCTAAAAGGTTAAGTATATGCTAAACATTTGCGTTTGAACCTTCAAAGAAACAAAATCTAATACTGACTCCGAGGAGACTCTGTCCACCCTACACGAAACTGGGCACTATAACGGTTTATCTTACAGTTGAATTTTCCTGCTATACACTGTTAGTGTTTACTTTGTCCTTTGTACCTAGTGTACCTTGTCTACTGTACCTTTGTTTGTTTACGTGTCTCCTTGATCTAAATAAACTAAAGTTATCAAAGCAATTGTCGCCTAGAAATTGATATTTAAATAGAAAAATATGTAATAGAATAATTTCACATATACTGGGCAAGGAAATATTGATTGAGTAACTGTGATGCCTCAGTTTCGACAGATTCTTCGTAGTGACTCAATCTTGAAATGTGGTGGGAAGTGAAACGCCTATAGACTCCCATGAGAACGCAAGGGAGAGTGGAACAAGGTAGCGAATGCAGTGACTGCGTTCTCAGTTATGAATCCACGGGTTGATCGATAAACGATGTCGTTCACAAAAAAAAATGTTTAATTTATTATTTATTGTTACCTAAATATTCGAAGAAACATTGAAGAAGAGCGAATTTTAATGTCACAAAAAGTTTCGGACCCAGAATATACATTCAGGAATTTCTCAGGTTAAGCCGTTTCTCCATTGCCAGTGTTTATATACAATGTTTGTATACAACTCGTCATGTTATTGTATTCGAGCACGTTGGATTTCAAGTGTGCGTTAGTCTTATCCCGTTTCTGTTCAAAAAATGATCAAACAAATCGCTATACAAGTTCTGAAATACGGCAATTAGTAATACTTAATTACGAAAAGAAAAACTCGGTCCGTGAATAGCGTGTAGTTTAAAGATGGCCAAAAGTACCGTTCAAGATATTGTAAAACTCTATCGAAACGAAAATCGGATTGATTTCAAACATCCAAGTGTCCATCCCAAGATTTTAAATGATCGCGATAAGTGTGGTATCGTTACACGTATTAAGAAAAGCCTTAGAGTTAGTGTTCCAAAGTTGGTTACTAAAATACAAGAAAACATCTTCGATTAGGAGTTTAGAGTTATGATGGGGCAGAGGTGATGACGCGTTCCCGTGACGCGTCGGCGTTTTTCTGTGGAGAGGGGTTTCTGATAGGTGAAAAAGGCGGTGCGTTTAAATCTATGCAGGCCGTGGAAGCAGTGGAGTATTGTTGCTGCGAATTTGAATCTATTGGGAGTAATTCGAGACCCACGTGCAAAAATATTTACAAACAGTTCCATCTTTGAATACATGTATAACTGCATAGTCAACAAACTAAAACCATATATTTAGTTTACATGTAAAATAAGAAATTATTATAAAATATACCACTTCTTTCAAGGAACGTGACCTACACAGAAACAACTTCCTATTAAACCGTTTTAGCCCCGAAACTATTGTAGATGGCGAAAATTACGCAACTATTATTGAATATCTCATAAACATTATTTTTATTGTATTGACTTTTATACATAATTATACCATATGTGTCATCTGTCATAACCTTGTTTACTTTCTCCAAAACCCATCGAAGGCCAATCTGTTGCGACTTGATTCCGACCTGAAAGACTCATAGGAGGATAATGTTTTGCAACCCTGAATAACAGGAAGCCGAATAAATATAAAAGTAGTAGCCTCGAAATTCCAAAAGCTCTTATCACTTCGAACCGTTAGACAGTAAATATTCTCTCATCACCAAAGTTTCGTTTATTGCTATGAGTTATAACACATCATTTAAATATTATAAAACATTTTATAATTATATTTCATTAATAAATAAAAACCTTCGTTTAATGTTTTAAATGCCTATTTGAGACTCACTTGTCGACACACTGCTCGTGACAATTTAACCAATTAAACATTAACTCCATCAATAGAGAGTTAGCGCACCGAAGGCCTTTCTCGCTCCTACCCAGTCCTTAGACAATTTGTACATAATACATCCGTAAACCTTTAACACTTGTTCCAGCGTCTATTTAGAATTTTACGAAAACACACCTGAGGCAATTCTCTTTCTCACATTTTCTGGTAACCACCAATCAGGTTCGCCTGATCCCTTGTCCCAGCGTCTAAGGTGCGGGTCTACCTGAAGAATGCCTTACTGACGAGGCCACTGATAGATCCCGGACGAAACGCTCACTCCCACTCTCCTAATCTTTTCAAACTTCCACCTCCTTTCCGTAATTTAACAGGTCTTTTCACTCCAATTGGAAGGCAAGAGACATAAAGAATGTAAATGAATGAAAACTTGGAACGATTTCACAGACGTTCTATAGTAGTTATATAGTAGTTCAGATTGAAATAAACTTAAGAAGGGAATAAAAAGTGATTCGACAACGTGAGATTTCACCGGTAATAGAGAAGATTAAATCCAGATTCAGTCGGTCGCCCCAATTCCCGCGCGACGATCCGCCGATGGAAAAGCGGCGCGGCTTGGTTCGACGTTTACCCGTCGGTGTTCACCGTAAATTGTTAACGGGCCCGGAAAGTACAGTTTCAAACACGAATTACCCTTTACACGGTAACGGGAACCAAGGGAATGCGCGCGGTCCTCGATATGTAAACGTTCGATTAGACGGCGGCGAGATGTATCAAGTTTAAATTGAATAATGCTTGTTCTGGAAAATGAGCCTCCATCGCGCGATAACGCTGGCAATGATAATATGTAATTCAATTAATGTTCCCGGCTGCCGCGGGATTTGCTCGTTCGAGTTTCCATGCTACCCGAACCGCCGCGTGTTCTTCCTTTGCCCCCATTCGTGCTCCTGCCCGGTACAACCGCCGATTCCCAGAGGACACAGAGACCGGGCGCAGTTTCGCGAACCCCTCTATGTACCGTGCAAATATGCATTTTTTTCATTTCGCCGCGCTCTAATATCGTCCGGTCGCGCTGGGCGGACTCTCATTTGTTCGAATGTTCCCTGTCCCGCCCCCTCGCCACCCCCGCGGCGTAAAAAACCGGGGCAAGTAATTAAAATAAGCTGTTCGCGGTTGTAACCCCGTTCCTGGCGGGTTTAATTTGATTTCTGCCCGTCCTGTTTCGAACGGCGCGATAACAACGGGCTCGCCGATACAGGCGTAGAAATTAAGAAACCGGCTCGGCGAGAGGATAATTGATTGCGATGAATCGACAATCTTGCTCTAATTGTTCTTTTGATCGTTCTGGCCGAGTGGATTCCGTTTGAAATATCATTAAAGTATTCGTGATGCTTTATCGAAAGAAAAACGTAAAATTCGATTGCGAATGCAAGAAAATTTCGCGTCAATAATTTGCTTGATAGTCGGAACTCAGTAAAATATGAATGTTGGAAACTTGTGACTTATTAGTTATTGTTTGTATATAGATATTCTGTAAGTAGATGCACTCGAAAGTAACTAAGAATTTTTATTCAGTGAGCTTCAAAACTATTTAGAAACCGTAAATAACACTTAAATACCGTATTTTCCTTCATCAAAATCTACTAATAAATTCTTAATAATTTTGAATACTAAACAGTTCAAAACTACGGACATACACTAGGGGCTAGTAACGTATGACGTATCTGTAAGCAGTTTAGGTATATCTAAAGTATACAATGTTTAAAAGTTTAGTAACGATACAATTAGTTTCCACTACTTAACATCTTCAAGTATACTGGCACATTTGTGTACTTACATTTAATTTTAGTTTATCATTAAAGTCCATCGAACGGACACTTGCCTCTTTTCATATCTTTTCCATAACTGCCTCCGTCCGTCTTCGTATTGTTCAATTCGTATCAGTGTGAACAAAATAAACTGCAGTTGAACGGAAACTAAAATCATCTCTGTCTGTTCTCAAAAAGAATTTGATCCTTAAGAGGTTAATAATTCATTGTAAGGAATTATGTTTTCTCTAATATAAATTAAATATCTATAGCACCTTACTACTCATATGAGAATTAATTGTCTGTATATTAATGGCTTGAATAAGTAATTGTTGTACGGCGTTGTTCAATTTGAGAACGCAAAATTGTGACGTTAGTCATCGCGTGGATTTTCCCTTAATCCTTTAAAGTCTAAAATTTGAGACTTAGTTCATTGTCGGACGTAAATACTGTAACTCATTGCGTAACAAATAGAAACTGTACAATTATTTACACAATTTCGGATTGTTCGTGAATGTTTGAAAATTGAATATTTCAATTTTTGCGAACGTGTTATATGAAATTAATTCGTTTAAATAACGATGAACAACTGGAGCAGTTCAAGAAATCATTCAATGTTTTTAAACGAAAGTTTATGATGATGTATGATTACTTAAAACTTCATCGCAAGGATCTAACAATCTCACAAGAAAATCCGAGGTTTAATTACTAATTACTAATTACTAATTACTAGTTAGTTTGATCCCGAAGTAAAAGGAACACACGAATTGACTCCAATTACCTGTTTCCAAGAGTCTGCGGTTTGTTATTTCAAAATATCAGTAGCTATCGTCAAAAGTTTGACACATGTTTGATAATATTTAAATGGTGATGACAATGAACGAACAAGCTTCCATAATTAAATATCAACAAATCAGATTTAACCTACAATTACTATACGCACCTGTGTATTCCTGGTATATCCGTAGCCCATAAATCGTTCGTCATGGGGTGGAGCAATATCCTTCGCAACGTAAAAAGGTTCGTAGAGGAATTCGAAATTTGTCACGTCATGACTGATATAGACCTTCCCAGTCTTCATGTTTCCGAAATTCTTGTGATTTGGAACAGTATCTAGAATCCACCTTGAATCGTCAGAATAATTACTGAATTATTATTCATATTTTGCATACTAACTGGATATTTCCATGTTTTCAGCACAGAAACATCAACTTTTTTATATGTTACAATACTAAGCTATGATCCTTTTAAATCGATGGAACATCGAAAACCATTGAACATTAGCAATATTTTGTATTTAATTTATTATAACAACCAAACTTTTAAACTGATGCAGACTACACTCATAAATAAAAGATATAGGTAAGTTACTTTGTACGTCAATCTTATTACTGTGGGAATAAATGTATTGATTAACGATGAACGTGTGTACAATAGATGATCGGGACGATTCTGCGTATGCGTATGTTTCGAATAAATGTTCAAGGCATTGGAATATTTTAGACTGAATCGATTTTCTGTAATATTGGTTTTTATATGTTAATAATGTTCAGGTTAAACGAATCTAGAATATTCCAAATGTACGTGAAGTTAATGCATGCTGACGAAAGAATGTTCTAGAAAGTGTGCGAGTGAGATGACTATATCCGAATTTATTGTATATATTGTGCGCTTGATTTGACTCATATGACTTGATTTGACATTATTTGTACAAATAAAATATTCTCTTTCCCCTACATTATCCTACATACTAATCCCGCATTAAAATGAAAATGCCCGTCATTAACCATTTCGCTCCAATGGATGATATATCTCAGTTCCACAATGTCGAAGAAACGATACTACTGACGAGATATCTCATTACCGTGTAAAATATGGAGTATTTTATATTCGTCATCTTTAAACACCTTCTATCAACGATGACATGTCTTAAAAATCGATTACTTTTGTCAGATTTTCAAATAAAACACTTCATATCAATAATAAAAATACACGAGATACCACATCCATAGCAGTGTACAACGGCATCATGGTGACGAGATCTCGTCTACAACAATGTTTCTTGGACATCGTGGAACCAAGATATCTCGTCCATTGTAGCGAAAGTGTTAATCAGTTCCAAATAATCGAAACGATCGACATTTATCCTTACCTTGTAAAATTAGTAGCGAACTGATTGTGTATGAAGACCTTCTGGTGAAATGGCCTGGCCAGGCCCTTCCTCGCCAGCCGGACCAGTTCCGTTTTATTTTGCGGGAACCTAACGCGCGAGTCCAGCTCGTACGTCGGTATCACGTAGGCGCACTTATCACAGGTGTCGGTCTTGAGGAACTCGTCGAGGGCGCCGGTCAGGTTGAAACTCGGCACAATGTCGACGTCCGTCAAGAACACGTAATCAGACTGACAGTTCTTTCTGGCCAGGTTCCTCATATGGTTCTGGGGATAGACGTTCCGGATGCGCCAGTTTGTCTGCTCATTCGATATTCCGTTCATCAGCTCGTTCAACGTCGCTTCCGGTTTGGCACAATCGACCGTCTCGGGCAGCTCGTACTCGCGCGGCTGCTTCTTCGGCGGCCTGACCTTTGGCACGGCCAAGGAGAACGCTACCCTCTCCTTTATCGGCTCGTAGCATCTCCTAAGATAGACCAGGTACTTCTGAAGAACCTCGAACTCCTCGTCGCCAGCCGCGTACAGGGCTACCGATATAGGTCCCGTCCAGTGGTGGGCCGCTTGGACCACCGAGTGCAGCTTCTCCACCGAGCTCTGCATGGCTAGGCAAACCCGATACGTCTGCGACAGCTCGATGAAGCTGGTCCCGACCAGAACGTGGTCGAAGGTGCGGAACAATTTACGGGCGTCCCACTTGCCCAGCTTTATATTCAACTTCAACCCGTGATCGTCAACTGGCAACGGCTGGTAATCCTGTGTCACGCAGTCCGACTGCAGTTGCTGTTGCTGTTCTTTGATCAGGGTGCCAAGGCTCCATTCGGTGATCACATTCACGTCGAGGTCCCTGGGCACCTCGTTCGGGATACAGGTCTCCGACTGCAGCAACAGGAAAGTCAGCAGCATATTCGACAGCGCCAGAACAACCACGCTGGTCAGACTGAGGTTCCATGGCCGGCATCCCAACTGTACAGAAAAACCAGGGTCATGATTGGTATGCGGATGAAATTTTGATGTGTTCCTGCTAACTGTTTGAATGCGGAAGGGTTGACAAAAAAAAATCAACAGAAAAATACAGAGTATACCGTGAAGCCCAGACTTACGTCTTAATTAGTTCAGGAGTGAGCGACGTGAGTCGAAAAGAACGTAGGTCGGGATACAGAAAGTAGACATGTATGCATATATACGAAAATACATATTTGTACATGAATTTATCAGATTAGGAGATACGTTCTCGTTTAAATGTATAAAAATAATAAAAGTGATTATATTTAACGAATGTTTACGAATAACAGAGGAGATCACGATGTCCATGAATAATACTAAACGAACTAGATGGTCTTTTTTTATTGCCATTACGTTCGAAATACGTTCTTTGTCTTTAAGAAATGCCCTCACAGTTGTTTTTGGAAAATTTATTTTTCAGTTCATCTCAAAACCTTGTATTCCACTATCAACAAGTTCTATTATTTCTAATTGAGTTTCTGAACTTATAGTGTTTCTTTTTTTGACAATATAATTTAAAGATGAGGACATCTGGTGCCATTACATATGCATAAATAATGGTCTTAACGCTTGATTAATTACACTTGTATGCTTATATTCGCTGTAAATATATAATATTTCTATAAGTTCTTAAGCTGTGTATAAACTGTATAATCTGAAATTATTTACTCATAAAAATTCTTTACTCAAGTAAGTTTCAGACAGATTCAATTAAAACGCATTTAAAGAAAAACTAAAAGAATTAATACATCAGATTTAATTTTTAAACTTAAGTCTTTAGAAATAGCATATAGTTCGCTGGTTGACTGCTGACCCGACACGAGAGAAACGCAATTGTGCTTCTCCGTAGTCAAACGGTTAATGTGTGCTGAAGTAAATAAATGTAAATATACTAAAACTTTGATTATCCTAAATTGATAGAAGATGATGTGTAGAGTGTTCGATTATGTGTAATGGATGTTTGAACTTTTTAGTTTATAATATCTGATCAAACACCAGTAAAGGCTATGAATTATGGTTAATAAATAAGAATGTTCTGAAGGTAAGCTCAAGAATATTAAATCTTCACAATTATCATGCATTTACAATAAATATTTCATTTCTCCTTCTACTTAAAAAATATTCACAATAAAATAAGAGTGTAGACCTCCCGAAATAAATCCGTAACAGTTGAAATTACTGATAGCGCTTTCATCGCCATCGTTTAAGGAGATTTTTAACCGCCAACAATTAATGTCGAAATCGTAATATCGTCACACTTAGCTTGACACTCTCAGTTCATAAAATCATTTCTTGAGATATCTATGTACTTACAGGTACTTGAACACTTTGTAATGCAAGTGACTTACAGTGTTCGTATAGGAGACATACGATTGACATTTAACACTTTGACGGCTGCCACATTTTACTCAAGGAATCTCGCCCGCTGCCGGTATCTCTCACGTAGATCTTACCGCCTGCTTCGGCGCTTCTCGCGTTAGATAAAGTCCGATAAAATCTGATAAATTTGATGAAACACTTGACACAGAATATAGATTTCTTTTTTACCCCAATTTCCATAAATTAGTGCATAAAATTGTTCTATACATTAATTTTTGTAATCTATTAATTACAATACATAAAACGGGAAGGCAAAATTCCACAATCTTTTAAATCACTTCAGCACAGTTCATTTTCACTAAATGACGAATTATCATTGCCATCGCAACTTGAAAGGGCATATACACGCATTTCCTCATCGATCGGAGATACTTCTAAGGAAAGTTTACAAACTTACAGTATTTATTCAAGTTTTCTCGTTGCAAAAGTTACAATGAATTATTTGAAACTATACAAAGTGTAAACGCAGAATGTCTTAAAAGACATTTTCGAGAAAAGAAAAACGCCGACAAAGCTCTTAAACATTAAGAAAGGAGAACTTAAAAATAGCTGAGATGTATTAATAAAAAAATATCAAGTCGCAACCTCAAATAATTTTTACAGTGTGACATCACATTTACGTGACACGATAAAATAATACAGATCTGAATGGACCTCTTAGAAACCATAAAATCAAAATGAAGGGATATGATAAGGCCGCAGAAATAAATAGGTACTTACATAGATATCACTCAAATCGCAAAAAATTAAACGTCTTGTAAAACATGATCACTGGCGACCGCAACTTCGTAACTTCGTATCAGAGTTTCTCAGCAAAAATTATACCGTAGCCAGTTCGCTATAAAACACGGTGTAAACAAGTTTTACGATAAGAAACCAAGACCTCGGCTAACAGCGTATTAGGACTGTCAAAAACAGAGCGAGCTGCTTGTTTTATCGTCCTAATTACACCGTCGTCAGTTTCTTGCTGTCAGCGGCAATGCAAAAATGAGCCACCGAACTTTGTTGAACTACGAGGGGATGTTGCAGTCAGGACTCCAACGCTGCCCTCCACTTTAAAATTATCAAACTTTCTTTTTCTACGTCTGTGGTCAGTATTCAATAAGAACGAATTCAAATTAAAAAGAACCTCAATATAGAAAAATCTGATTTTTTAACATGGCAGTATCTTTCTTTATGATTACATTTTTTGTTTTCCCGTTTTCATTCGTAATTCCTGTTACATTCTCATCATTATTCTTGCCGCGTTTAACGAGCTAATAACACGAGTATAAAATATATTTGAAAACTTAACAAATAACAGGACAAAAGAGTGTTACAAGCTAGTTTCTTCAAAAACAGATACTACTTTATTTTCAATTAAAACTGTGGGAATAAGGAAGTTGAGGAGGAACAAAAATGCTCTTCCCATTTCTTTTAAACGAAGTGAACACCAATTTCTTTATATATCTCTTATTGCACTGGATAACATTTATTTCAAACGGTTTTTTTTATTACTCGTTCTTGAAGAATATATCTGATGATAAAAAAGGATCCTCTTAAAATTGTTTTGTCCATTATATTACCGTCACATTTTCGCATATTATCATAATACAATATTCACGCAATAAATGTTAAGATGAATTTAACGATCTACAACTACCTAACCTTGAAAAAAATGTGTTCGGGTCCAGACAATATGAAATTAATGAAATAAGAATAATAATGACCCTTTACTAACTGCCCTAGAAAAATTTGTTGCACGGCAAATGATCATATTTTCTATCTCACTTAATTAAAGAAAGTGAAATCAATATCTGCTATTGTTTAGAAATAGATAATTTGTGAAATTTTATTTGATCTGCCATATACAGAGTGTCTCGCCTACATGACAACACCCTAATATCTTCATTGTTTTTAGACTTACAAAAAAAACTTTCAAGACGAAAGTGTACTAGTAGAGAGAGTAAATTTTATGATAGAGAACACTGCATGTTCAAAGTGAATTTTTCGAAATTTCAAGGTTATCACCATTTTTTAAATGGATTAGAAATAGGGATTTAAAACGCTATTTCATGACCTCAACAATCATAATGTTTGAATCTTACAATTTCGAAGAATTTATATTATATCCTAACGCGTTATCATAGTATTACCAACTCGTAGATTTATATGGAATCGTAACTTTCTTGGTCTGAGTAACGCGGATTATAAGATAACATATGTCTCAGTACAAATTGTACTGAATGTGTGTATGAATATTTAATAAAGTACCGATGATCTTGAAATTTCAAAAACTGACTTCGAAAAAAACATTTTCTTCCCTTATAAAATTTGCATCCTCGATTAGTGTATCTTCGTCCTAGAAGTTTCTTTTCCAAATCTAAAAACAACGTAGGTGTATAAGGACGCCCTAATGAATAATAGTAAAACTACTATCACGACTGAATAAGAAGCACGACTCGATTAAAAATCACTGACAATTCTAACTGCAACTCATCGACTACAACGAAACGACTAACCTCTTCACCCACGCCAATAATCTTTCTTATACCCTAAGACAATCCATTCCTTGTGCATGCTTTTTTTTAACGCTTTCATCCCTAAATATGTACTTTTTTAATATGAATTTTGTGAAAAAAAATGTATGGCTGCACTACTTAACCAAAACACATGTACTGGCAACTGATTAGCACTTAAGCTATCAGCCATAAACAAAGATCCCCATGTGGTATAATTTTCCTTTATCTTTAAGGCGTTTTCTAGCTTTCCGATAATTTAAAATGTTCGTGGTACCTGTATGTACCATTCGGGATGAAAGGATTAAATGGTCCTGGGTCCCAATGCCTAGCAAGGCCCTTTTACACTATGTCGTGTTCCTTAAAATTACGTTAAAAACTACATTATATTCTACAGGATACATAAAAAATAAAGAAACTAGCGGTCCTGCAGATAGTATATAACAAAATCAGTACCATATTAAAATTAATTATCTGTGAAGGATGAATTAATTAAAAGCAATAATGAAATTTTTCAATCTCACCGACCATTATTTATTTGAATATAATGTTCCAACATTTATGATACTAGAACATTTCCTATTTTTCTTTTTTTTCCTTCCTTCATGTTTATATTTTCGTATTATTTTCTGTTACAACGCAATTCATTGGAGTAAAGCATTTGATGTAGAATTTGAGGTAGAATGAAACGACGCAGTTAATTAAAATGAGAGGTACAATAAAATAAATACCTCCAAGGATACTCCAAGGATTCAAATTAAATACCACGGCCCCGCAATTCCTTGGTTAAGCGCTGGGAACAGGGATGACTTCTATAAAATTGTCCGTCAGAGAGCAAAAACAATAAAATAAGACCCATATATATCCACAGAAAGCGGTCAGTTTAATGAAGTTCCACTATGTAAATAGTACTTTTTCTTAGCACAACAAAACTTGGTTGGACTTTCTGTCCCGGAGAATTGTATTTTTTACCACTACAAGCACAAAGAAATAATTTAAGAATTTCTTACCAGCAAGTTGTGTAAAATATCGTAAATAAGAGCTTATGCACACGAGCGGCATGATCTTGCTGCGGCGCCGCAG